TTAACTAAGGGAAAATGTTTAACATCTCTCTGCAGTTCTTATATATACTAATAAACGCTTATCTGTCCAAAGCATGCTAAATCTGTGGGATAGATTGAAAATAGAATCTCAATATCATCTTGTCCCTGGGCTAGCTCCTCTTAGCCTTGGTTTCTTCCGCCCGTTTTGCCTGTTCATGAACTGTTCTCTGAATAAAGCTCAAACCACCACTACATGCTTATTTACACAAAACTGAAACAACACACTTGGAGTTGGGAGTTTTGAGATTATAGTCAACGTGGTTTGACATCTCCATGCCTCTCTCACCATCCACCTGATTTTGCTTCTTGCTAATATTCCTGTTCCCACCATGGTCATCCTTCTTACTCAAGTACAAGTCCTACTCAATTTTTAAAAGTTTTAAGAAGGTGGAGACACTGCACGAAACATCCCTATTTCTCTGTCTTTAGAGTTTGTTTCTTGAATGTTTCTAATAATAAGAAATAGAATCTGTAACTATGGGGATTGAAGGACAGGACTAATATCACTAGATGGAGGGAAATTTACTAATAATCCAAGGGCTGTCATCTCAAAATCCACTCTGCAATACCAAGAGAGCAAGAGAGTGCAGCCAATACATGGTGGGAGAGACTGCTTGAATAAATGCTTGTCTAGCTAAAATCTCAACCTCCAGTGACGTAAATAATTACCTTTTATCCCTTTGATGAGCTTCTATTAGCTGACCTCCTACCTCTGGGGGAAGCTGAAGTTTGATAACACACCTGGACAGTCATATCTTGTAGGTCATTGTCTTTGAGGGCATCACCCATTCTTCTCCAGAGAGCCACTTGCAATCTCTCATCTGCATTTCCTGCCCAGGAAACTTCGCCCTGTGCCGTCATGCTTCTCTAAGCCCAGTAAATTCCCCTACAAAACACCTATACTTCCCTAAAGCTGTCTATATTCCCCTATATGTGAGAGGTAAGTACAGTCTGACTCATGATAATGGGGAACCATGCTTCATCATTTGCTTCTGTGAACATAATAAATCTGCATGTCATCTCAACTTCTGAATTCCTACTATCAGGGTTTAGTGAACTTTAGTGAACACTCCTTTCAGCCGTACAAAGTCTTAATAGTTCTTGCCTTTGTGATTTTGTACAAACTGCAAAGCATTAGTTTATTTTCTCATCTCCTCCACATTTAGCAAACCCGTATCCATCTAGACCCCGCCTTTCAATATATTTCTGGATTGTGGAATATTTGTTATGTTGCCATTCCACCCAATTGATTTGATCCCCAAGTAACAAATTATTTTAAAACTCAGTGTCTGAAAGCATAGCCTCCAAAAGCCTAGGATACGAAAGCAGAGTATCTGTTCCTGGGATTGCACTCAAGGTAAAATGCCTGGTACTGTTCACCCCACTTCTAGAAAGGCAACAGAGCTGTTTCAGGCAGAAGGTCTCTGTTCATGACTACTTCCACATCAAGACTTCTGTAGTATAATTATATATTAAAGTGCTTACATCAGATTTATACTGACATTTATAGGTTTTTAAAGATTTACTTATTATTTTATGTGCATTGTATACTTACACTTCTGCCTGCAGAGGCCAGAAGAGGGCATCCGATCTCCTAGAAATGGAGTTTCCAATGGTTTGTGAGCTTTATTAGTTTTAACTTTGACTATTTACAGTCAACTCTCCCAAAACTAGATTTTACAAATAAAACTTCAGTAGAGTGGACTTAATTCTTTATCTATCAAGACTTAGGTACTCCAGTTTTTAAACAGTTTTAACTCTAAAAGTTTTATTTTATGACAATTATATCTGTCTGCTGTTTTCTTCATGTAGTAGCTTAAAGAACATTAAAGTAGTTAAAACTGGATCTAATTCTTTAGGTAATACATGCTATTGACTAACTTCAAATGATTGAGATTGCTGGTGTGTAGACAAGGTTATTCCAGACCTCACCACCTTTGTTATTGTTCATCTTTTTGTGCACTGTGTTCCAACTGCCCATACCATCCCTAAAGGATTGCGTTAAGCCAGGTCCCCAATATAAAAACATCAAAGGTTAAAGTATTCACCAATAGTTAAAGTGAACTTTTATTACCTCACCTTCTCTTCTTTCTAAATATGACTCTGCCCACTGTTTACCGGATGTTGACCAATTGGAAACCAGAATGTTCACACTTGTAGAGCTTTGATCAAATTGGTATGGCTCAGCAGTTAAATTCTTCTGGAGGTCCTAAATTCAATTCCCAGTACCTACATGGTGGCTCACAACCATCTATAACTATAGTCCCATGGGATCCAACTCCCTCTTCTGATGTGCAAATGTACATACAGACAAAACACTCATATATATATTATATATATAGTACATAAGTAAATATATATATATATATATATATATCTTTAAAAGAATTAGGAATAACAGTAGATTAAAGGAAAATAAAGTTCTTAAGAGAAAAATACAACAAAAATGATTTTTCCTTCCTTCGAGTTTTTGGGCCTGGATCCTGCATCCAAGTATTCATCTTCTTACTATGTTCATTGAAACATAACTTAAAAACAGCAAGTTTCCTATACTGAAATTTGTAATATCCTTTCAAAGCCTACGTGGTAAAAGTTTGGCCCCCAGCCCACTGCCCTACTAGGAAAGAGTGCAACCTTTATTACTTGTGGCCTAGTTAGAGGTTGTCAGTCGTTGGGGATGAGCCCTTGAGGGGATTCTGGTTCCCAGTTAACTCTCTCTTATGTCCTAAGCATGAAATGAACAGGCTTTGTGGTTTTATATACCCTGCCATAATGTATTACTGCCTTACCATGGGCTCAAGAGCAATGGTTGCATGTGATCGTGAACTGAAATCTTAAAAACAAAACAACAACAAAAACGAAAACTGTTATGAACCCAAATGTATTTCTCAAGGTTCTCTATGAGAACAGAACTTCATATGAATCTATCTATATATAGAGAGCAGGGGATTATTAGAGTGGCTTACAGGCTCGTCCAACTAGTCCAGCTAGTCCAGCAATGGCGGCCTACAAACAGAAGGTCCAAGAACCCCACAAGAACCCTTGTGCTCAATCCACAAGGCCAGATGTCTCATCTTGTCTTCAGCATATGCTGAAATCCTGAAGAAGTAGGCTCTTATTCCAGTGAAAGTACGACTTGTAAGCAAGAGCTACAGCAAGCAAAGAGAGGATGTTTCCTTCCTTCTTCCATGTTCTTTATATAGGCTGCCAGCAGAAGTTATGGCCCAGATTGAAGGTGGATCTTCCAATTTCAAATAATTTGATTAAGGAAAAAAAAAAAAAACCTCACAGATGTGCCTAGTCATTTGGGTTTTGGTTAATTCCAGATGTATTCAAGTTGACAACCAAGAATAGCTACCACACCAAATAAACCTTTCATTGTTTTGAAGTGATTATACCATCAGAACATCAGAAAGCAGAACATAAACATAACTCTTGAGGTCTATGTAGGCCTATTAGTGGGAAAAGTTGCTTGAGACCTTACAGGTTTTTTTAAATTTGAAAACCATGTTTTAGTTGTTTTTGCTGGGAGCCTCTGCACATTACTTTAGCTTTACTAAGCTTGAGGTTACTGTTAATCCCACAAGATGTCAGGAGAAAGACCACTGACCCAAATCATCATTAATTAAAGAAAGCAATTTATTAAAGCAAACTCTTTTTCTGTGTACATTGGCTGTCTCCTCCTAAAGGTGGGATTAAGGAGATCAGCATTAGACAGGAAAAATGGTCTTTTAAGTCTAGGAGTAGGGGGTTTCCAAATGAAGTATTTGACAGGCAAATAGACAGGGTTACAAAAGCAGAGCACAGGCACAAGTTGGTCATAATAACCTCCTAAAAGCAAAGTGATCATAACAAGGTAGTCTTAACAACAGGCGGTCATAATAACCTATTCAAACAAAGGCACGGTTATCATTTCCTAGAAGAGGCAGTAGAGAACCATTTGTAGTTAAGGTTACAGGTGGGGGATAGCCCAAAACAGAGATTTAATCATAAACAGATATGTGACTATTTTTACTATGTCTTTCAAGGCCAAGATGGAAGCAGGTTGGTTTATCAGTTACATCAAACAGATTTAGGTTAATCCTCCCAATAAATGAAATATTGCAGAAAAGAAAATTCCCTGTAATTTCTTTAAATCCACTTATCTGATGGTCCACGGATTTTCAATACTTTTAAAACCAACTGGATCTATTTTTATAGAATTTGCTTTAAGCACATAGGGCTTTTGAGAACCAGACTTTTTTGGAAAAGGGTGGGGTGAAATCTTGAACTTCATAAACATTTACTCAGTAGTAGCTGGATTGATGTTCTGTGACTTTATTTTTATTTATTTTATAACTTACTCATTATATATCCCGGTTGAAGCCCCCTCCCTCAGCTCTTCCCAGTCCCTTCCTCCCTCTCTCTCCCCCACTATTCCTTTCCCCAGTCCCCCGAAAGGAGTTCTCATCTGCCATCTGCCCATGGCTTATCAAGTCTCATTACGAGGGCCTGGATCCTCTTCCTCCGTGGTTTGACAAGGCCACATTGCCAGGGACAAGTAATTTTAAGGCTAAATGTAAACAAGAAATGTTTTCCCTTTTGAGAATTTTTTAAAAAAAGATTATGTTTTCAGTATTCTGCCTGCATTTGTGCCTACCGGCCAGAAGACGGCACCAGATCTCGGTATAGATGGTTATGAGCCACCATGTGGTAGCTGAGAATTGAACTCAGAACCTCTAGACCTCTTAGCCATCTCTCCAACCCTCCTTTTGAGAACTTAAGGGTTTTCTTTAAGCCGAAAGTGAAACTAACTTTTGCTTTACTTCAGTGAGAAATAAATACAAATGAGACTGAAAGGGCGACCCAACTTCTTTCCACTAATTTCGGCACTCACACTCGCAGAAGGTGCAGCTACGAGCACTTACGCATGCGCAGCACACTCAGCCCTCCCTCTGCTGCACAGTTCCCGGGGAACTGTGTTCCGGATACACCGGTCCGGCTGACCTTCTTCCGCCCTCCACTGCCCGGTTCCTACCATGGCTTCTGCTGTGTTCCGGCTGCTGCAGCAGGGCTCCGGCCGCCTGTTGGCTCCGGCCGCCCCGACGCTGGCTCCTCCGGTTCGGGGAGTGAAGAAGGGATTCCGTGCCGCCTTCCGCTTCCAGAAGGAGCTGGAGCGCTGGCGCCTGCTGCGCTGCCCGCCGCCGCCCGTGCGACGGTAGGCGTCTCTGCGTAGACGAGCGGCCGAGGTGGCCGTGAGGATTTCGGGCTGCAGCTGCCTGCCAGCACGGGTGGGGACATGGCCACACGTGGCCCGAGACAGGGTAAAAGGACAACAGAGGCCGTGCTGTCCCCTGCAGAATCTCACTAGCCGAAAATGGACACGTGGGACCTGCTAGAGGCTGACCGCTTGGGATTTGGGATTGACCCAAGTTTGTTTCTGCCCTGTGTCAGGGTTGGTTGTCCCGAAATTGTTTGGGCACCTTTAAGAGGGGTAGGAGCCCTATAGAATTGCGAACCAGGGCAGAAAATTTCAGTTCCCTGTAGACCTGGGTGTCCACTGTCCAGAGTAAGAGGGGGAAAGTTTAGTTGTTGTTGTTTTTAATCTAATTAATCTGTTGCTGTCTGGTAACAAAATCATCAACAACAAAGAAACCACAAGTTTTTATAAAGTGCATCGTGCTTATGTGTAATCCTGTACGTTACATTTTCTGTTTACTGTGTCTTTGTGAACAAAGATACACGTAATTGGACTTCATTCTTACAGTTGCACTGACATTTGGCCTCCTCCAGATTGTTAGTACAGCCCAAGAAGTGGGAACTGCCTGTAGTTAATTCTTTGGGAACTTATTCCTGATATGAAATTTTGATTATCACTTTAATATTGCTGTCCAGGAGAATATTGATCCCGTTTACACTTAATACCGGTGATGCACTAATACGCCTTCTATTACAATTTTTTTTTGTCATGATAAGCAAAAATAAGAACTCGTGCCTTAATTTACATTTTCTTGCTTATTGGACAGGTGCACATTTTAAGATTTATGAATTAAAATTGGAAAAAACTATGGATTACAAATGTAGATTTATGAGTTTCAACCTAGATTGTGTTTTTTGTTTGTTTGTTTTGTTTTTGTTTTCACTTAAAAGGGTTTGATTCTGGCATTATCTTTCTCCAGGAAAAGACATTTTAATTCTTGGAATTGTGTTTTTTATTCACCAGTTGTCCCTTGTGTCTGGCAGGCAGGCAGGCACTCTGTTACTGAATTACAACAACTTCAACCCTCACCTATGGTTATGAAATTTTAACGTGCCCATAATACTGATACTAGCCTATGTAGCTGGTACTTTAAGGGAACATTTCTGAACTTTAAATAAATTGGATACAAACTAAATATAATATACTTTTAGTTGGTGGCCTGACACTACATAGCTATAATTTGATCATATTTAGGTAGAAAGTATAATTTCATTGTAAAAGCAGAAAGAAGGAACTTAACCTAGAACAATATCCTGATCTGATGTAAACCATCTCTTTAATATGGCAGTTAAGCCAAAGGGAAAAAATTAATCCTAACCCTATATGGAGAATGTAGCACAGGACTGCCAGTGTCCATCTGCATTAGTTTTTGTATTTAAACTGTTAGACCCGGACGTTAAAAGAAACACTTTATTTTGATCCTTTATGTAAGTTCCTTTATAATAATAAAGTTCGAACACTTTTATACATGGTGACATGCTATTCTCCTTACTATCTCTACATCCTCAGCTCAGAGAAGCCAAACTGGGATTACCATGCAGAAGTACAAGCCTTTGGATCTCGGTTACAAGAAACCTTTTCGTTGGACCTTCTCAAAACTGCCTTTGTCAATAGCTGCTATATTAAAAGTGAAGAGGCAAAACGTGAGAAACTTGGGGTAGAGAAAGAAGCTGTTCTTCTGAATATTAAGGACAATCAAGAACTGTGTGAGCAAGGGCTGTCTTTTTCACACAAGTGCCTCACAAAATGTCTTGAAGATGAGTTCCCAGAATTGCCCACGGAAGGCACTGAAGGTCTAGTTAACTTTCTTACTGGTGAGGCAGTTGTCTGTCACGTGGCTCGGAACTTGGCGGTGGAGCAGCTGACCCTCAGTGCGGAATTTCCTGTCCCGCCACCCGTATTACATCGGACTTTCTTCGCAGTGATTGGAGCCCTGCTGCAAAGCAGTGGACCAGAAAGGGCTGCACTTTTCATCAGGGTGGGTAACTGTTACCCTTGTTCAAACATGCTCAGTGTGGACAGGAGGAAACATTTCTCTTTCTCAGTCATTCTTTTGATACAGCTTTGTAGAACTGCCGCCCCCCAAATGACAGACTTAAACTATTTTTATGGTCATTTTGTTGTAATGATTTCAGGTTTGTTTTTTTAAATTTTATTTATTTGTTTGTTTGTTTGTTTATTTATATTTATTATGGTGCAATATTCTGTCCGAGTTATGGGCCTGTATGCCAGAAAAGGGCCCAATTATAGATACTTGGGAGCCACTATGTGGTTGCTGGGAATTGAACTCAGGAACTCTGGAAGAGCAGACAATGCTCTTAACCTCTGAGCCATCTCTCCAGCCCAATTTCAGTTTTTTTGTTTTTGTTTTTGTTTTTGTTTTTTTTTCTTTTTCGGATCTCATGAAAAGCAAATAATAAATGCTTGGTTACAAGTTCTGAAGATTTAACTTATTTTTTAAGCTTTTAGGGTTGCTTCCTTGTTTGTTTTTTAAAAGGAAAAGTTTATATTTAAATCAAGATCTAAAAAGGGATGTTGTCCCCCATGATGGAAAGCCGTGGCCTATGGGTGTGTCCTTAGTAAGTAGACAGACACATGCTTGTCTTCTACTTTGAATTTCAGTAATTTGGTAATTGAATTGTAAGGTAGGAGTTTATCTTTCATATAATTTTGGTAGGTTATATTGCTTCATATTGTTTCTTCGGGGTTTAAAATTGAAAAAACTTAAATTTGTGATAAAAAGTTAAAAACACAAACAAACAGCAGCCTATGGGAACATGAGGGTTTAAATCAGGTAGAGTGTTTGCCTGCCTTGCATGTGTGAGCCCCAAGGGGAGAGGATCAAACTGAAATTCCAAAGCCTAAGGTGAAAATGCTCCATAATCTTAACTTTTGTAACCAACGCTTTGGTGCAGAAAGTTTCAGATTTTGGAGGATTTCAGATTTTCAGCCTATAGATGATTACCATGTCCATTTGCCATTCATTTCCTATCAGTTTTTATGGTAAAGAAATGGATTTTGAATTCTGGTTGTAATACTCTTTGTTCTATTCTGATTTAAATGTATAAATATTATGCACAGGACTTTTTAATAACGCAAATGACCGGGAAAGAGCTCTTCGAGATGTGGACCGTCATAAACCCCATGGGACTGCTTGTAGAGGAACTGAAGAAGAGAAACATTCCAGCTCCTGAGTCGAGACTCACCAGGCAGTCCGGAAGCACAACTGCTTTGCCTGTGTACTTTGTCGGCTTATACTGGTTAGTAAAGACTTACTCTTCACTTCTGAACTGAAGGCTTCTGAACTGAAGCCTTCAAGATAGACTTCCAGTTTTCAAGTGTTACTTCTAACAGCATTAAAATTGTGTCTCTGAGCTGGCCATGGTTGGTGCATGCCTTTAATCCTAGCTGATCTCTGTAGGTTTGAGGCAAGACTCAAAGCCAGGCCAGCCAGAGCTACACAGTGAGACCCTGGGGTGAGAGGGAGTTCAGTGGGCTGCTCTCTAATTATCAGAAGCCCCCCCGCCCCCCGCTATTAGTGGAAGACAAGTTTATTTGTCTTTTGCTAATGCTAACTTTTGAAGAGTTTGTATGTGTGAGTGCTCACCTGCATGTATGTCTGCACCACATGCATGTGGAGGCTGCAAGAAAGTGTCAGTTCCAGAACTGGAGTTAGAGATGGTTGTTAGCTGCCGTGTTGGTGCTAGGAACCAAACCTGGCTCTCTGCAAGGAAACAGTTTATTTCTATCTGGTCGAGGTTCTCCCTTAATTTACTCTTGGCAGAGCTTCAATTGAGCCTCAGAGTGAGTGGAAGAAAGGAGCTTTGACGTCTTACCAAAGTGTCAACCCATTTAGTGCCTTTTAGTCTTTTTAGAAATGGACCTGACTGAAACTGATTTCAGGTTTTAAGTGTAAAGTGGTAGAGAGGTGGAGCTCAGTGCTAGAATGCTTTTTTAGCAGAGAGTGTGTGTGTTCAGTCAGAGGACTAGTTGTGAACATTGAGTAGCATAAGATAACTAGATTAAGTTTTCTGCAAAATTTTTCCAATCTTTGTATGAAGATTTTCTAATCTAAGGAACTTGCCATGTAAACCTAGCTGGTTCAGACTCAGAGATCTGCCTCCCTTTGCCTCCCAAATGCTGGTATGAAGGAGTGCACCACCACACCCAGCTTTAATCTCTGAATTCCTGATCCTTTTGTCACTTGGTGCTTTGACTTGGAAAATACTGGGCCTCATAGGTTTTTATATTTATAGAGCATGGAAAGGAAAGTAGTGGAATGGAATCACATACTGTCTTTCTGTCATTGAGGACCACTGTCGGTTTTCTTTCTAGTGATAAAAAGCTGATTGGAGAAGGACCTGGGGAAACAATACTAGTTGCAGAGGAAGAAGCTGCGCGAGTAGCACTTAGGAAACTCTATGGATTCACCGAGAACAGACGGCCCTGGGACTATTCCAAGCCCAAAGAGAGCGCAAGAGCAGAGAAAACCAGCATCGCCAGCTAGACAGCTCACATCTGTGAGAAAAGCAGTGAGACAGTGTCACAGGCATCCCTGGGTGAACAAACATGTCTCATTGTCCTTACTGTGTTCCTGCAATTAAACAAGTTTATCAGATGACAGGCATTGGTTTCATTTTTTCTGTTTCTCATATATTGGTGTATTATTGTGTATAATTTGTATACCTAGGTGTATTTGTTTCCCTCCAGCTTTAAAGTACAATCAGGTGCCAGGTCTGGGGATCACTGTAGCACTAAGTGTCTGCCTCTTCTAGTATCCAGGTGAGTGCTTTTGGGCTTGAAGTTGATTTTGGCATGTGGAGCCCTAGAAGAGCAGAAGAGTAACGAGATGAGGTTTTTCTTTGCCTGCTGACCTCCTTGCCTATGCATCATAAGCTAGCTGCCTTTACCCAAGGTAGTAAATCCTGCCGGCTGGCCGTTTTCCTCGGTCTAGTGTGTTATCAGTAGTCCAGGTTGTTGTTTGGACTGGCTGTTTCCTGGTTCTAGTGTTCACTAATGAAATAAAACCCCACCCTGATCGCAAAGTTCTAAAACAATTTTACTTAAAACAATAAAAAAGACCAAAATACCCTGTAGGGAGCAGCAGGCCACATGAGGGAAGACACTCGGAGGTCATGATTATTGCTTGGGGTTTCCCATTAAGGGGCCCAAGAGAAGGAGGAGCTGACTTGCTAAGGGGCATGCTTATGCATATTGTATGGAGAGGGGTGGGTATACACAGTACGTGTAGGTAAAGGGGCTAGACATTGAAGTGCACTGTTAGGAGAGAAAGTTCTTCATGACCCACCTAAGTGGAGCCCCAGGTTGCCTTTCTATCTCGTGTCCAGTAAGTTCCTGGGTCTGGTTTCCCTGATGGGATTTTAATGTGCCAATGTGCCCCTGTTGTCTTAATTCACTCCCAATAAATTACACAGTGGTGACTTCTGTTCACAGGAATAAACTTCTGTGTGCTTGGAGGTACCAGAGAGATGGTGCCATTCATGTGTTCACACAGGAGTACAGTCATACTCCATCCTCAAAATGGAGCCAAAATCTGATGGTGAAATAGTCTCTCGGGAGCTGGAGAGATGGCTCTGCAGTTAAGCGCACTTACTGCTCTTGTAGAGGACCCATGCTGGGTCCCAGCACCCAGGTAGTGGCTCGCAGCCTTCTGAAACTCCAATTCCGGGGGGTCTGACACCCTCTTCCGGCCTCCTTGAGCACTGCATCGTGTGCACATGTGCATGTCTTCATACACGAGTGAATAAATGAATAAATCTTTTGAAACAATCGAGTCTCTCAAGACCTGGCAGGCTTTGCAACTTTTGCACAGTAAGGGTGGGGTGATTTACAGCAGGACCCCTGCTTCATCACCAGCTTCCGGGCCCATCTCCAGCAGTACAAGGTTTGTGTGGGAAAATCTGAGAGGTGAAGAGGGAAGGAAATAATAGCTTTCAAGTGCTCTAGAGGAAAGGAAGGGAGGAAGGTTGAAGTTTTGGTGCTTTGTTGGAGACCACGGAGGGAAATCCATTTCTCCCTGACAAAGTCTAGTAGCTTTAGAACCTTTTGTTTTAATCTGCCCTGTTACTTAACTGTTGGAATCAGTCTGTGTGGAGACATGACTTTCTGAACTGTCCTAAATGTCTATCAGGGAACTATCCAAGGACAAAGACACCATATTTCCCATTCCTGACCCTTCTGCCCCCTTAAGAGTTAATTCAAAGGGGCCTGTTAATGATGTGGACTGGAAGATATGCCTCAGGAAAACTGTTCCTGACTCTAGAAAATACAGTATCTAGCAACTTAGGCATGAAGGTCAGCATAGCGGTCTAATTAGGCAACCGTCTGTGACAGTACTTTCCTCCACAGGAGCCTCTTTGGTCACTTTCACCCTTGACAGTGTCTCATGTCATTCTGTAATGATCCCTGTCAGTCTTCTACATGAAGCCCTGTGTTTCTTCTGAGTTAATTTGACAGATCACAAGGGTAGGGAATAACTGCAGGCCAGTGCCAGACTGTACTACCATTTGGACCCTGAGTCATAAAGCTTTAAGTTTGTTTGTTTCTGGTCTCTAAAGGTCTGCCCCCACCCTTCGAAAACAAAAGCAAGAGTCCCCAGGCCTGTGACAAACAGTCTACATAGCATTCATTTTGAAGCTAGAAAGATAAACACCTCTATGAGGCCCAAGATACTCTGAGATGAGAGAGACTATATCCTAAACCCTTGGTCTGTTTAGAGTAAGAGAGCTCTCAAAATGAGTGCAGAAGGAAGCTACCTCAGCAGCTTCACCCTCCGCCCAGTCACAGCTTAGCCCACCCAGAAAACAAGCCTCATGCTAAGACTGGCCAGAAAGGTGGAACTTGTGTCTTGTGTAACAGGTAACAAGACTGTTTCCAGAGAGCGTTTGAGAAGTATCTGGTTGGCTATATCAGTAAGTTTAATAAAAACCTTTCTTTTTTACTGGTTGACTCTCCTTAGTAGGTGAGGCTAGCCTGGAACTCATCTTCCTACTTCACTGTTTCTGTTTTCCTTTAATTTTTAGTTTTTTTGAGATTTAACTTCAGTTTCAATTAACCACAAAGATAACAGCAACGCAAATGCCATGTGCTTGTTCTTCATGAGTAAGCCTTGTGTAAGGATTCCAGTAATACTGTGGACTCAGATAATGAAACTCAAGAACCCGCCCAGCATGTGTAAAATGCCAGACTCTGGCTAGAATCTGTTGCATGTTTTAGGTGAGCATTCCTTCTAGTCTTTGGTGAACTCACTGGCAAACTCAGTAATCCTTTTCTCCCTCCCAGAATTCTGTGGAAAAAGCACTCTCTGACTTCTTGTTTCGAGCAGTTTGCAAGACTTTAGCCTGCAAGGCTGATTGGGAACTCTCCTTCTGTTACCTACAGCAGTGCCTAGTGACCTAGCTGAATGTCTACCCACGCTCACCTTGATTATCTTTGAGAATAGGATCCCTGTTTACTTAGGCTGGAATGACTACCTGTCTCTTAACTCCATTATAACCTCATCTGCGTACTAAACAGCATGCCTTCCAGTGGGTCACGACCCTTTTGGCAAACCTCTATCTCCAAAAATATTTATATTACAATTTATAATGGTATCATAATCACTGTTATGAAGTAGCAATGAAAATAATTTTATAGTTGGGGTCACCACAACATCAGGAACTACATCAAAGTGTCACAGTATTAGGAGGATTGAGAATCACTTGGTCTGTAACCTTCCAGGCCCCTAGGGATGAAAAGTTCATTTTCTAGTTTACTTCCACTTGCTTGCTATTGCCTGAATTCAGAAAAAGACAAAAGGAACCAGTTTGGGGGCAAAAACTGGCTTGTGACACTTCCCTTCAGCTTTCAAGCTTCTAAACCGTGTATATGGATAGATTTACCTAAGAACAAATGTAGATTTAGTACATAAACTAGCCTGCAATTTAAAAGATCCATATTTTTTCATAAGGAATATACGTTCAACACACTTCTAAGTAAATCTTTGAACTCAAATTGTTAGGCTATATTTATTTTAAGTCTTTTTTTGAAAAACCCACTGAAATGTGATGATGGGCTGGAATGTAGGAAAATCAGCATATTTCTATGGTTCTATATGTAATAGCTTAAAATTTGGAATCAATCTCTGCACAACTCTTACTGGTCCCATAAAAATAACCGTTATCCATGCAGCCCACATGTTCAACTGAACGTGAGACTAAACTAATCCAATGGTCATCTGGAGTGCTAGCTATTTGACGTATGCTTTATCCACGTTGTATAGGCAATCATAAGAACGTAAGGGAAGCAGGGCGGTGGTACCATGTCTTTAATTCCAGCACTTGGGAGGGAGAGGCAGGGTGACCTCTTTGAGTTTGAAGTTAGCCTGGTCTACAGAGTGAGAACAGCCAGAGCTGCCCTGAGAAACCCTGTCTTGAAAAACCTGAATAGATAGGTAGATAGATAGATAGATAGATAGATAGATAGATAGATAGATAGATAGATAAGAATGTAATGGAATTATTGAGCTATAACAGCCATTGCTAGTTTGGCTTGACTCTTTTTCCTGTCTTTTCTCATTCTATTTTGTAAGTTCCAAAGGTCCTACACCAAAAATAGAAGACTGAACATTTAAGGATAGCATAAGTCATGCTATTTTAAATTTAACCTATGTTTTACTATATGTGTACATAAAAGGGAGAAAAATTCTCTCAAAATCTTATGTGGCCACAAGAAAATGTACTAGGAATTACAGTTCTGGTTAAGAAGCTAGGGGCAGATGTCAATAGTGGACAACTCCCCCTTTCAGTGGACTAGGGGAAAGGGATGAGGGGAAGGAGGAGGGAGGGTGGGACTGGGGGGAGTTAAGGGAGGGGGCTTCAATCGGGATATATAACGAATAAATTGTGAAGAAAATAAAGAAGAATATAAATACATAAAAATTTTGAAAGAAAGGAAGGAAAGAAAGGAAGAAGGAAGGAAGGAAGGAAGGAAGGAAGGAAGGAAGGAAGAAAGAAAGAAAGAAAGAAAGAAAGAAAGAAAGAAAGAAAGAAAGAAGAAAAAGAAAGGCACTTTTGTAGTCCTGGCCTGATTCTGACCACAAGATGGCGCTCCAGCCCTATGGCACAGCCTAGGATGTACCAAACCTAGTGGAGACCACTGTCTTCCTCCTAGGACGGGGAGATGTGTGTGTACACGCACTTGATTATGTGATGTGGCTTCTCCAGTCTCCACGCAGCTTTGCAGTTCGATGAAAGTGTCTGCCCGAGCTGCCCACTTCCTGCTTCCCATCAGGATGCTGTAGCTGGGAATCTGATGTGTGCATACTTCAGCTTCGTCTCTGATACGAGTGTTTGGTTTTTCATTCCCTCTTTCACTAGGGAAAAAAAAAAGCACGGATGCTGAAAATTTTAAAAAGAAAACGAAAGATTTTCTATTTATTGTTCTACTTGAAAACCCACTCAAACCTCCTGCAGCTTGCAGCGTGCCATCCAGGCACTGATGTCCACTCTTTCCAGTCCCTTTCAGATAGCCTGTGCCATCTGTCTAATCTGCAGTTTGTAGCTGCAGACCTGAGCTCTTGACTGTGGGTATGAGGACACAGGAAGTCCATGGTTCTCAGTA